CTAATCTTCATGGGCCTCGCCTTTTTGGCCCAAGTGTCCTTGAACCGTCTTACCCGTGTCTTCCACACCAAACTCGTGTCACAGTGCAGTCACTTCGGATTCTCGAAGTGGTGATAACCACTTCGACCGTTCCTTCGGCTCACGGGTCCAATGGGCTTTATCCTTTAGGGACCATTTTCTTGACTACGTGGCAATCTTTGGTTGGTCTCGGACTTCTGGTGCGGGATCCGACACCAACACCTACTGGTTTTATCTCAGATGGTGTCCTTAATGTTGGACCAAACACATCTCTTCTCTTTAATGAACTTAATTCCACGTTTATGGCTTCTTTACATTTTAGCCAATCTGATCTCTGAGTGCACTCTAATATAGACGTGGGTTCATGATCCTCATTTATTTCAATTGCTACCTTATATGCAAATATTTCATCGATGTCGACATCTTTGCGGTTCCATTTTATTCCAGACATGATATAATTTATTGATTTCTCATTATCATCTATCCCTTCAGGACCATGAGGATTGGCGTCCCAAATCTCTCTATTCGGTTCCTTAAGGTCTGCCGCGGCCATGTCTATGGTTTCCTTAACCTCGTTTCCTACTGCACCTTTCTTCGATTTTCGAGGATTTTTATCTTTGGAACCTATTGGTCTACCACGTTTCTTACGTGCGTTAGACTCTGTAGCAATTTCATTGATTCCCTTTTGGATATCAATACGTACTGGTGCATTACAAGCTGGTATGTACGATTTTGTAACTTTCTTTGGGTCAACAAAGGAATCTGGCAATTCATTAGCTAGCTTTTGCAAATTTATTATTTTCTGGACCTCTGATTCACATGCCAGAGTCCGAGGATCTTGCCAATTCAAGGATGTTTGATTCCATGATATTTCTTTTATATCTTTACCCAGCTTGTTCGTCTCTCCACCTAAAGTAGGAAATTCGGATTCATTAAAATGACAATCCGCGTATCTAGCCTTAAATAGATCACCCGTAGTTGGCTCTAGATACTTGATAATGGTGGGAGAATCAAATCCAACATATATTCCCATCCTCCTTTGAGGTCCCATCTTTGTTCTATGTGGTGGAGCAATCGGTACATATACGGCACACCCGAAAGTCTTTAGATGGGATATGTCTGGCTCATGACCCATGAGTAATTGGGATGGTGAATATCTATGTTCACTAGATGGCCTTATGCGTATAAGTTCTGATGCATGCAAAAACAGCGTGTCCCCAAGCGGCTACTGGGAGCTTCGACCTCATGAGTAATGGTCGAGCTATCAATTGAATTCGTTTAATGAAGGATTCCGCTAATCCATTCTGTGTATGTACATGTGCTACGGGATGTTCCACACTTACCCCCATGGACATACAGTAGTCATTAAATGCTTGGGACGTGAATTCACCAGCATTGTCTAGACGTATAGTCTTAAGCGGAAAATCTGGAAAGTGGGCTCGCAGTCTTATTATCTGGGCCAATAACCTAGCAAACGCTTGGTTTCTAGTGGATAGGAGACAAACATGTGACCATCTTGTCGACGCGTCAATGAGAACCATAAAGTATCTAAACGTCCCACATGGTGGGTGTATTGGTCCACATATATCTCCTTGTATCCTTTCCAGAAAACTTAAGGTCTCTTTATTTACCTTAGCCGGTGACGGCCTTATAATAAGTTTCCCTTGTGAACATGCTTCACACGTGAGATTCTTAGGGATAACTCTTTTCTCTTTTAGGGTGTGCCCCTTTGAATTAGTCATTAATTTACGCATCATATTTTGACCCGGATGGCCAAGCCGGTCATGCCATAAAGTGAATTTCTCGATGAACTCTTTGTTCATTGCCATATTAGCTTCGATCATATCGATTTTAGCATAGTAGAGACCAGTGGATAATGCGGGTATAGTCTCTAGGACTTTCTTATGTCCTTGGGTGATCTCAATTATATTTAGGAATTCTTTGTTCCCTTCACCCTTTGTTTCAATATGGAAACCATTCAATCTTATATCTTTGAAACTTAGTAAGCTCCTCTTTGAGCTGGGTGAGTATAGGGCATCGCTTATTTCAAGATGCGTGCCATTTGATAAAAGGATATGGGCTTGACCGTGGCCCTCAATGAGACTAGCTATACCCGCTATGGTGCTAATATTGGCATTTTTCAATGTTAGATTTATAAAGTATCTTTTGTCTTTTAAAATTGTGTGGCTCGATCCACTATCCACCACAAGTATATTCTTGTCATCGGCCATTTCTAATATTGACAAGAAATATGTCTTAGATAATAAAGCAAACGATTATATTAAAAACAAATTAAACTTAGATTTAAATCCAAGACATAATAGAATTCAAAAAAACATAGAATAGAATTCAAAGACATAGAGCATGAAAACATAAAGCAAATTAAAGCAAATTAAAACACAAGATGTCGAATTTAATTTTCCTCTCTTAAGCAATCCGAAGTCTCATACTCCAATTGGTCATCGTTCTCATGGTCGAAATCTCCATCACCATCGAGATGAGCCAAATTGGCTTCGGGATTCTTCTTTATCATTTCTTGATAAGCATCGATTAGATGTTTAGATGTCCTGAACGTCTTAGCCCAATGATTGTCCATTCCGCATCTATGGCAAACGGATTTGGCCTTGTGTTGCGGTTTGAAGATTCCGCGGCCACGACCTCGACCATTGTTCCCACGGCCTCTACCACCATGGTGGTTTCCTCGGCCGTAGGAGTTATGGTTGCTGCGACCACCACCACGTCCTCTACCACGGCCACGACCGTGATACCCTCTATGGACGTAGTTGGTTTCTTTGGTCTCTCGAGGTTCTTTGGCTATTTCGGCCTTATGGGCTTCCGGCAACGGTGTGGATCCTGGAGGTCTCATTGAGCTATTCATTAGTAATAGCTCATTATTCTTTTCAGCAAGGAGTAAGCAGGAGATCAAACTTGCATATGTTTTGAATTTCATTCCACGGTATTGTTGCTGAAGTACCACATTATTAGGGTGGAATGTTGAGTATGTTTTCTCAAGCAAAGTATTATCAGTCACCTTTTCACCACATAGCCTCAGGATTGAGACAATCTTAAAAAGCTCGGAGTTATACTCCTCCACGGATTTGAAATCCTGGATCCTGAGGTTTTTCCAATCATATTGGGCTTTCGGTAAGAGTACCGTCTTTTGGTGATCGTATCGCTTTTTCAGCTCGATCCAAAGATCGAGAGGATCCTCGATAGTAAGGTACTGATTCTTAAGGCTCTCTGCTATGTGATGGCGTATAAATGCAATCGCCTTAAACTTCGACCTCTTCTCACACTCGTTGTTTTCCATAATGCACTCGGCGAGATCTTTGGATTCAAGGGCTATCTTAATGTCCAATGCCCATTGTAAGTAGTTGTCGCCGGAAACGTTGAGTGCAGAAAACTCGAGGTTCTTTGTTTTCGACATCTACAAGCAAAAGGAGATTGAGTCAAAATCATGTAATCGTTAATGTCATGCGGTATTAAAAAACCAAACATGAATCGATTTACTTAAGGATTTGACTTTCCTCGTAGGATTAAATTTCCTTTTCTAAAATATTTCCTAATTTGATTAGGGTTTTAGAGTTTTAAGATTTCCTATTTTTATTTAAGATTTTAGGATTTCTTATTATTCCTAGGATTTAGGGTTTTAAGATTTCCTATTATCCCTAAGATTTAGGGTTTTAAAGATTTCTTATTATTTAGGGTTTCCTATTTTATTTAGGATTTTAAGATTTCCTAGAATTTAGGGTTTCCTATTTTATTTAGGATTTTAGGTTTTAGGGTTTTGAGATTTCTTTTAGGATTATCTTTTCTAAGTTTTCTAGGGTTCATGCAATTTTAGTTTTAGGGTTTTAAGCATGTAATCAATCAAAGGAGCAAACAATCTAACAACCTAAACAATCTTAATCAAGCCGATTTAAACTTATGGAATTTTCGGATTAGATTCGTTTTAGTTTTAGGTTTAGACCTTTAAAGTTTCGGTGATTAGCTTATGTATTTTCGTTTTGCGATTTTAGGTTTAGACAATAAAACTTCTCTAGCAACTTAGGCGATTTTAGCATAAGCAATAATCAACTTTTCTAGCAACCTAAACGAGTCAAACAATCGGATCTCACAAGCAATAGCAATCGCTTAAACAATCAAGATTCGTTTTAGTGTCTTAGCCGTTTGTTAAGTTCAAGTTCATGATCGGTTTTCACAAGCAAAAAGCAATCGTTTATACAATCAAGATTCGTTTTAGTGTCTTAGCCGTTTGTTAAGTTCAAGTTCATGATCGGTTTTCACAAGCAAAAAACAATCGTTTATACAATCAAGATTCGTTTTAGGTTTCCACCGTTTGTTAGATTCAAATTCAAGTTGGGTTCTTTAGCTTTAGGGTTTTGATTTTACCTTTCACCTTTTTGGGATTGTATGGATTAGAACCGGGAGCTAAAGACCTCGGTTATCAAGCTTATCACGAACGTATGAAGCTAGGAGGAGATCGCCGATCAAGGAGCAAAGCGAGCGGTCGGCGGTTGGTAGCTTCAAGCGGTGGGCGAACTCGGCTACTTTAGTTTTAGGGTTTTCGTTAAGAGCAAGTCGTGCTGATAACGTGTTGTAAAACTTGTTGTTCGATTGATTAATGAATGAGGTTCGTTACATATTTATACATGATGAGAGGAGACAAATCCTCATTGGGTTAGTAAGCCCTAAAGTCCAAAAGCCCACTAAGTATAAAATAGACCGTCATAAGGAGAATCTTCTAGAACATGGGTATGGGCCTTCTAGGACATGGACATGGGCCTTCTAGAATATGGATAAGGCCCACGGTTATGGAGTCCATCCAACATGTGATTTATAACAAATACAACTTTGTTACAAAATAAATTATTTCTTTTGGAATCGAAGTTTGAGAGATAGATAAGAATATGGACAATGTCGCAAGAAATTCCAACAAACAAAGAGCGGATAACTAAAGAGAAGAAGAGCTCACACGTAAATAGTTGAAAACAGAATTAATATAAATAATTCTATAGGTTAAGGCTTCAAATAAGGAAGTAGAGATTAGAATAAAAACAGAACGGTCATGATCTACGCAGAGAAGCTAGTCCTCACGAAGTGCTCTTCTGCCTTGACGAATTCGCCTTGGCTTAACTTTCTTCCGCATACGCTTCATCTGACTAGGGGCTAGAAGAAATCTGCCAGTAACTTTACCTACATCTAATACGCATCCTGGCCATTCTGAGGTTTGGGACATCTCTGGTGCAAGCAGATTAGGCTGTACTAAGAAAGCATTGTAACCTCTCGAATACAAACCTTCAAGAGTAAAGATCAAGTCAATGACTCTTGGGATGCCGTCTGTCTTGACATCGTCTCCTTGGATGTTGTTTGAGATAACGATCACATTTGATGGTGCAGGATATGCCACAGGTGTGTCTATTGCCCATAAACTAATGTCATGTAACATCATATTATGTCTCGCATTTTTATCCCCTGGAACTATAGAGATACATCAACAAAGATTTAGATTACATACATATATAAGAGACAAAGATTGTTTTAAGAGCTAAGGCTTAAGTAAAAAAAAAAGAATTCACCTTTGGGAAGGAAGTAGATTTTGGACTTGCGATACTCATGCAACAATTCATCTGATAAGGTTATCTTCTCAGCATAAGCCCATATTGACATCTCGTAAATATAATAATCTTTTTTCTCAAGATCTGTTCTAATTCTCTGATAGATCGATTGAGGATCAAGATCATTAGGGAGTGATGAATCATCGACGTCCCAGAAGACACCTGTCTTAGGCCCATCGACGCGTGCGATAGGCTCTGCAAGGTTTCATCAAACGAAAAAAGGCATAAATGGGATTACAAAAGAATTAGATTTCATAAAACTCGATACTTATCGATCAAGAAAGAGAGAGCTTACTGGAGAAATCTTCGTTGTTGATGGTTTCAATCGCCAGAGAATTTGAGACTAGAGAACCTGCTTAGACAAAATTGAAGAATGCTGCATTAGGAGGACATATATAAATTTAAAACCGAAAACAGAGTTTAACATAACAAAGGACAGAAGCTCTCAGGATGAGAATAAATATTGTCAACACCTTGTGAGCTTCCACTTTGGTCATCCAAAGGGTTTCCTCCATTAAAAAATCTAGTAGAGTCAGATATTGAGTCTGCATTACGTAAGAGCTCTTTTGATGCGGCCTCATCATGAGGCTGTACCAAGAGAACATTGAAACCTCTTGATTTCAAAGCGTTAAAAACCCTGACGAACTCTGTGTCATCGGGGAGGTTTCTTGAGATTAACATCACATTTGGTTGCCTCTTAAAAGAGCTCGATGCCCAGTTAAGAATGTGAAATGACATTAAGTTAACTCGAGTGTCTTTATCCCCTGCGAAAAATATATCAAACATAGATTTAGCCAGGAAAGAGTGTTACGAGGGTTTATGTAAAGGAATTCACCTTCGGATACGTAGTAGATGTCGGCTTCGAACCATTCACCTTTTGAGGCGATATCCTTCTTCTCACCCAAAGCAATGAATTCGACCGGTTCAAGAGCATAAAAACCCAACTTCTCAAGAGCTGATTCGATATTACCAGAAATCGAAGGAAGATTGACATCTTTAGGGATTGGGATTTCCTCCACGTCCCAGAAGACGCCTGTGACTGAGTAACAATGACCTTCACGTAACAAAAACGGACAAGGCATAAACAAATCACGAAACCCAGGGGTTTTAAAAGATCGGTTACTATAGAATTAGATCCATAAATCGAACGACTTATAAGTGCTGGTTAACAGATACAGATAGCTAAAATGAAATCAAATTCTTATCGATCAAGAAAGAGAGATCTTACCGGAATTTTCGTTGTCCATGGTTTCACGGAGAGCTCGCCACTCGCCAGAGAATTTTGAGACTTTTTCTCTTTGGAGAAAAGAGAAAATTAGGGTTACAATGGGTCTGCGAACGAGAATGAAGTCTCTAAATATTTTGGTTTATGTCAAGGCACGTGAAACAGATGAAACGGAGGCGTTTTAAGTGACTGTTATTAGTTTTTTTTTTTTTTTTAATACTAGTGTATGTAGTAGCTACGCTTAGCATGACTCTTGTATATCGTTTTTTTACATGTTAGATCACTGTTATATATATATATATATTTAACAAAAATAACATATATATTTATATATATATTTAAATAGAACCATATTTAGAAAGTTCCTCAAATAACACCATAAACTTCAATTAATTTTTATATACAAATTATTTAAATTTAATTAAAAAATTAATAAAAAGTGAAAATTTTCTGTCAAAAGTTTTCCACAATGTAAAATTTTTCCATCAATTTTTTTTTTATCAAAAATTTTCCAGAATGATGTTTTAGCTAATTGGCCACATGTCTCTTGAGTTTGTTACTAACATTGTGAGTGGGTGACTTTAGTTGTTTACTTGTTGAGTCGTAAAACGCGTAACATATATTTGATTTTTTTATTTTTTTTTCATTTCCATGCTTAAATCTAAAAATGAATGGAGAAATTATCAGTTCAACACTTCCCACACGTTAAAAAACTTACTAAAATTGTTGGCCAATTAACATACAGATTAGTGGATACCAAGCATGAAATTGACATGCTTTCTTTCATCGTCCACGTTAAAAAAAAAACTTACTAAAATTGTTGGCCAATTAACATAGAGATTATTGCCTTATTGGATACCAAGCATGTGAAATTGACAGATTCATCGAACACGTTAAAATACTACTAAAATTGTTGGCCAATTAACATAGAGATTATTGGATACCAAGCATGAAATTGACAGACTTTCTTTCATCGTACACGTTTTGCTAGTATAATTCTTCGAAAACAATTGAATCACACGTCACATATAATACAGATAACACCTTAATTTAAAAAAAAAAAAAAAAAAAAAAACTATCTGTCCCACACTTCCCACACGTTAAAAAACTTACTAAAATTGTTGGCCAATTAACATACAGATTAGTGGATACCAAGCATGAAATTGACAGGCTCAAGACGCCGCCGTTTCATCTGTTTCACGTAGTAACATTTCCTTATTTATTTGTGCAAAAGTTTCATGTATTATAGATTTCTTTCTCACTCGCAGACCCATTCTAACCCTAATTTCCTAAAGAGAAAAAATTGGCGATTTCTCCGTCGAAAACAATGGAAAACGAAGATCACGGTAAGATCTCTCTTTCTATCGCGTATTTATTCTTGTTCCATAAGAATTTGTTTGTTTTGACTTGGTCTTATCGATATATAATCAGTTAACTAGCAGTTCTAATTCGATCGATGTGATGATTTATTTTTTTCGTTTCATTTTTGTCAGACGGTCCTTGGTCTTTTCCCAAAAAACCGGTTCGTGCTCGCAACCTTGTTGCTCCGGATCCGGCTCGAGATCCGGCTCTGAATAAGGATATAACAAAAGCGGTGACGGTTTTTATAGACATGGATACTACACAACTACCGGATGATCATGGGAGATTGAATGACCTAAGGAACCAAATTGAAAACGCCTTGAAAACATGCGACCCAACCTTACATGTTTCTTATCAAATTTATTGTTATGGAATTGACAATGAATATAATAAAAGTTGTCGTACGTTTTTGAAGACTCGTGGGTACGAATTCAAGTTGAATCCGAGTAGAGGTTCATATTGTGGTAAACCAGCTTGCGGTACGTGTCAAGACGATCAGCTTTACAACTTACCCAGTTTTGTACCATTTCATTATTTCTTATTTAGTTGTCTAACTTATTTTATTTTTGCAGTAAAACGATATCCAAAGAAAGATTTGACGGAGTTAATCATGACTCAATCAGTTCTTTTACATGCCTTCGATTCCCTTCTTCAGTCACATTCTTCTCGCCATATACTCCTCGTGTCGGGAGATGGTAATAGTGGCTCGTTGCGCAAGGGTTTGACAAAAAGAAATTTCATCACATATGCCGCTGTTTGTGGTGATTCTAAGTTGAGCCTTTTTATAGATATGAATCACACCTGGTATTGGTCTAGGATGGTCGAAGGAGGTCTCTCCATCCAAAGAGAGATAGATCAGGAGGAGGCAGAAGGCTAGAGAGGAGGAGGCAGGAGTAGGCGAGGAGAAGGAAGATATAACTAACATGAGATCTCATTGATTATGTAATTAAAGTCTAGATTGTTTTAAATAATCTCATACAAATCGTACTTCATTTCTTACCAGTAGAATGAAAGAATCAGCATGATTGGAACAAAATGAAACTTTGCTTTAAAGAAATTCAAGTTCAAGTCTTTCTTTAATACAACATGACATAAAATGCGCAATAGTTGAGTAACATTGAATATATATGTTATGGTTATTTTCAGTATCCAACTCATTAGACTGATTCCTTTACCACACCAAATCTACTAGCTTGTAAGGTCAACTAGACTACTTTGATATGTTTGTTATGCTTATCCAATTATGCCGCCAAAAGAGCTTATCAAGAACATATTCAATTATGGATAAATGATCAGACTGAAGTCCATGAAAAAGCTATACCGCAATGATATCAGATATCCCACTAACCCCCCGATGAAGTATATCATCAGCTAGATTAAATGCTTCCATTACCGGAGTAGACTGAGAGACATTTGGAATGACATGAGAGTGTCAACATTATCTCGGAGATATTAGATGCAAGCCCTTCTTGATACCAGACCATTGCTACTTCGCCCATCAAATGAGAAAGGCGTTGTGTCAATACCAACCGTCAATATACCAATTCCCTTGGCAATTACAGGGGCTGCGCCAGTGCCAGTTCCACCACCCATTACATCCTATAAAATGACGAAGACATGCGAGCATCAACGCTCAAGCAGTGACACTGATGCTACAATAATGCTGGAGGCAGTGGATATACAAAAAGAATCCATGATTGGCTATCAATTACCTAAATCTTCTATAGTTTGACACATATAGAGACCTCACTGTTTTGAACAAAGAACTAGGTAATAAGTGATTGAGAAATGACAGAGACTAAACCTCATTTTCTACGATCAAAGTTTATAGCTAAGAAGAACATAGTGCAAAAGTTATAATCCTATATATTTGAGGACATAACTGTGACAAAGACCATCTGAGCCATAAAAGAGCCTCTGCAATAACTTCTTTGCTCTCTCTAGCAGCATTAATTCCGATATCTGGATTACCTCTAAGCACTAAAACTCTTGTAAACTCCTTACCAAGTTTTGCAACCTATTATCTGGTAAAACGGGAGACATTCTCATAGCCTGAATATCGGTATTCACAATCCAGAATTCCACGCATGACATTTCACTCTCTATCATATGATTCACAACATTTGATCCACTGCCTCCCACAGCAATAACTTTAATCCTTGCGTCATTGTAACTGCTCGGAGCAGATGGCTCTTCAAAATGCTCGGTAACAGGTCCAATAGACGTTTCCTTCTTGGATTGACTATTGTATTGGTCCCGTCACCTCTCTAAGCATCGATATTTCTGGGTGAAAGGATCTTGAGCTTGGCTTTGGAAATGCCATGGAGAGTTTCTGATTGGCGAAGATCAGACAAACTCTGTTTTTCTTACTCTCAATCATTCCAAAAGAGCTAACACTGCCTAAATGATTCTCTGGTAATACATTCTAAGTAAAACACGGTGGTGAAACGTAAGTGGCCATATTGAAACCAACGACTGTAGTAAATCACAAACTCCAGAACCAAAGACCAATCCAATTCCACTGGTTATTTCCTAGCAAGACCTGTTCATGAAAGTCTAAGAAGTCAAACTCAAAGCTCTCATTTAAGAATTATTATGAGTCAGTCACAAAGGAAAACACGAAATCCAGCTGCATTCTTAAAGTTAAAGGAAACAAAACCCAGCTGCAACTTTGCTCCATTGTTAACCCAGTAGTAGATATCAAAGTCTCATAGATTGAGAATTAGTGGATCAGATAAAAGAAGTGAAAAATCAGTAAACCCAAATAAAATTAAATTGCTTTCGCCATTAAAGATGGGTATTGCGAAGTTTGCAGCATTACATAAAAACAATTTAAGACCGAAGAAAAACCCTAAAAAAGCTTCAATTTTTTTTGGGGTAAAACTGCAAGGCAAAGAAACTCAAAGAGAACAAAAGGGCAAAGCTGGATAAGAGTAGCGGAAGAGTTGAGAGAGGTAGGAGAGAATAAGTGATGAGGAAGGAGCTGAAGGTCCGGACTCTGGAGGAAACTATCAAGATGAACCTGCAATAAATATCTCCAGCAACAACATTCAGAAACAGAAAACGTCACAAAGAAGCCCATGTATTGAAGCCTGCCTATTCACAGAAACAAATGGATCCAGTCAAGTGGGCCAACATTCACAGAAGCCCATGTGGTTATCTTAGGTAAATGTTATACTATATTTTTCTCAACAACTAATTATTTCTATTAACAAAATCCAAATTATATAAACTGATGAAATCATAGTGGAATCGCAAATTAATAATTTAAGTAAAAGCGGATAAATTGGCTCGACAAGTTCGTACCGAACCGCTTCACATCACTTATGTAAACAACATTCCGCATGAATGGCTCTTTTGAGCGTTAAATTTAAGCTGTTGACAAAAAAAAAAAAAAATCTAAGTATTTTATGATAAACAGATAATTAGTATCTTGTCTCATTAAAGATCCCCTTTTTAAAAATGATGATACATTTATCCTCCTTTTTTTTTTTTGGACAGCAAATTATGTAATTATATCGTTTCTGTGCATGGTCATTATCTTTTCTTATGAATGCGTACGTAATAGGTTTTGACGGTACAGTTAGTACGTAATTCCGATTGTTAATAGCAGGGCCGGTCCATGAATTTTGGTGGCCTAAAGCATATTTAAATAATATAGTTTTATATATAAAAATTAATATTAAAAATTTGTCATTTAAATACTAAAATATATATAAAAGTTCAGTTTTTGTTTGAAGAAATTAAGAATATTATATAAGATTTAGTAGCCAAACTAAATAAATATTTAGAAATTTTGTTGATAGAGAAAAAAAGAATTAAAGCAACAATTGATAAATAAATAAATAACAATTTTCTCCCCCTCCACAAAATAGAAAGGAAAAAACACGTAGTAATCAAAAAAAAAAAAAGAGAACCGACTAAAAAAAAAGGGAAAAAAGGAGAAACAAAATATGTACAAGTAAAGACTCGAACCCACCAACTTGTGATACATCAATGAGTTACACAACCAACAGACCAAAGGTAACTTTACATACTTGTGGCCTTAATGTTTTATATATATTTGGTGGCCTAAAGCAAATGCTTTGGCTCCCTTATGGGTGGGCCGGGCCTAGTTAATAGTATTCAAAAAATTTCTTCAAATTCGTCGGTATGAATATTTGTTTGAACGATTATCTGTTGATGATATATCCTTGTTCAAAAAATCGCTAGGCGTTAGTGGGGCGTTCGAGCTGGACCTAGCGATTAATCGGTTAATCAGAGATTACACAGAAATTAATCGGAGATTAGTTTTAGGGCTTTATCTAATATTTTGGATATATATGAATTATTTGTTGAGAAATGATATAAACTCGGTTTGGTGTAGTGGTTTCAGTTGAAGTAGTGCACTAATAAACCCAAGTTCCAGTCTCAAGATCTCATTTTTGCTCTTTTTTAGTTTATTCTTCAATGAAGGGTAAACCGGACTTTACACAATCATCTTTTTCACAGATTTTGACGAGTTCTTAAACCTAAGAATGTCGGCTGCTCGTTTTTTAATACGTTTGACATCATTTTTAACTCGTTTTTCTTCTTGAATCTGCACAAATATGATAGATCTTACATGTATAATAGAATTTTAATCATAAACTACAAAAAATTGTTGTTCTCCGATTTGGACAAATCCCGTGGCTACTTACCGTCGAACGCTTAACCGGCACTTAGGCGGCCACGGAGGCCGCATTTTTTAACAAGGGATAATATAGAGCAATATATGGTAAGTGATTTTGAATTGAAAATCTTAATTTAAATAGAGTATAAACGATCATTGTCTAGATATTAGTAAACATTGTCTCCAGATTTTCCGCAAACGAATTAGATTTACATATATATAGTAAAAAAACAAAAAATCTTTATAATTAATGTCAATGGCATTACATTTTAAATAAGTGCCAACTCCATGATTTATTTAAAAAATCTCTCCGAAAATGTATATATAGATGTAGAGAAAGTGTATTCTTCTTATTGATTAGGATATGAGTACAACTCTATTTATACAGAGCGAATGATAATCTAGAATATTCAGTTTAGATTACAAACTTGATTGAGAAGTAACTTACCATATTTACAAAGATACTCCGTGTATTCTATATACGTACTCTCAAGATAAACGATCGGGAGAGAAGCCTATCTTACTAGAGTGAACAGCGAGGAGGGATCGTGACGCGGGTTTCGTTAGCGTGTTTGCGAGCTGGTCTTTGGAGGAGACATGAGCAAGTCGTAAAAATCCAGATTAAACCAGTTTCCAAACGAAATGATAGTCAATGGCCACATGTTTCATACACGAACGAAACACCGGTTTAGTACTAAGATATGTGGCACCAACATAGTCGCAATAGATGACATGTTGAGTGGTTGAAGAGACTCCCAATTCTTTCGTAAGAGAAGTAATCCAACCTAAATCTGCAGTTGTGTCAGCAATAGCACGATACTCTCGACTCCCACCCCAATCGGGGTCGGATA